CCCCGACAATCGGCCTGACCTACCATAAGAACACAACTATAACGCCTAGGCTAATCGGGTACGTCGACGCCGATCACGCCGGCGACTCCGACAACAGGCGCTCCCGCACCGGCTACATTTATCGCTTCGAGCCTATCGGTCCTATCTCCTGGCAGTCGAGCAAACAGGAATTAATCGCCCTCTCTTCAGCTGAAGCAGAATATATCGCACTCTGCTCAGCCACCAAAGAAGGACTGTACCTTCGCGAACTCCTGGAGGAAGCCAAGCTAGCCCAGTTACCAAACTTCACCCTGTTCTGCGACAACCAGTCGGCCATTCGCATAGCCAACAAGAACGGCTTCGCGAACAGGACGAAACACATCGCCCTGCGATACTTCTTCGTGAAGGACGAGATCGAGAAGGGGAGACTTGAACTGTCATACTGCCCCACGTCCGAAATGGCAGCTGACTACTTGACCAAGAAACTTGGAAAGCAGAAGTTCGAGTACTGCATGCTGCTGACTGGACAGAGCCACGTCACCAGCATCGACACTCCAGAAGCGAAGGGGAGTGTTGGAAACAATTAACTCTAAGCGCCTCTGTCGTGTCGAAACACCAAGTCAGAAACGAAGCGAAGCATATCGAAGCACTGGCGAGTCAACCCTCGGAGGTTGAGCAGTTGCTGGAGGTTACGCGAAAGTCAAAGGTCAGCGACCTTTGACCTGACAAGTACAGCGCGACAGCAAGGACACACAACTGACTCGTTACAGAGCAGTTGCCCGAGTCGTCACTGTATCGAACCGCAACAGCAACAGTAAAACAGTTGGAACCGTATCTCTTCGTATTCCTTGTACTCTTATATGATCTTGTATCTCTTTGCTTTAATCAATCTACTTTGCCCTCACATAATAGCGCAAGGTGGTTCACAACTCTTCATTAAACGCTTCCGCTATTACATCAGTTATACCCAGAGTCCACCCCTGCAAAGATCCTAAGGGCTATTTTTCTCAGCCCAACAATATCTAGGGCCCCGGCCAAGGCTGACGTTTTTTGTGTATGCGGCAGTTGTTATCACTTGTCCTTGCGGCCATGTCATCTACAACAGTGCTGACAGATGTGTTTGGCAGCGTTGTCACTCAAGCAAGTACCCAGCAAGGTTACACATGAATAGGTACATTCTATCATTGCTCCAAGAGGCAAGCTTTTTTTAGAACTGACTACTGAAGCACTGAATACCGTATATAGAAAGCTTGCTTTCTTGTTGTAGCAATGGCATCGTCTCATTTCAAATGGGGACCTGCTTCCTGGATACAAGAAAATGTTGCAGGAGTACAGGAGGGAGAACTGGTATGATTATTACCCCTCACATGAAAATACCCAATGCAACAATATAGCAAGTGAAAAAATCACACTGCTCCACAAATCAGGCGCAGCATGGAGTGAGCTTGCTTGGAAACGTGTGGTACCATGTTCTATACAGCAGAGCTCTTACACAGCAATACAGTAGAACAAAACAAAGCAGGACAGCGAATCCGGAACACCGTGCTCAGACTACAACAAAGAGGATTATCAGCATTGAGCCTTGACGCCCAAAGGCAACGAGACTCTAGTTGTAGAGGTGTCAGAATACTCTGAATCACATCACTGCACGGCCATAACCCGGAACGAGGTTGCAAACGAAAATCGCTCAGAATGCCAAGGGGGAACAGATGTGGGCAGTGAAGCTACTGACCAGTGGCACACGTCAGAAGGCTGGATAATCGGCAATGGATGACCATCAGTGTCAACCAGCCATCACGTTTCACAGCATGCTGCCACAGATATGACTCCATAACCTGTAAACAGGTGAAAACGGAGACGCATCCAAAACGGGTGAGGGGCTGATAAGGGATGGGCAGAGAATGTAGGGCAGAACCACAAATCCTCAGACCGGATGTAGCATCCAGCATATGCGCAGAGGCGAAGAAAGCGCCAGAACGTCTACAAAGATGCAATGGCCATGCAGGATTACACCTTACCATGGCATGTCCATGTCGCCCTCCAATCATACCCTGGACATGTGGAATGCTCTAAAGCTCACATCCATGGCTCAGAGGAGGGCCAAGAAAAAGATGTAACAAAATCCTTGCAAAGCAACAACAGCAGGTAAACTAAACTTGTGAAATTTATCCCAAGCACTCATAAAACATTGATGCTTTAGCAGGATGCGAGGACAAGAACAGCACAACAGAAACACACGCATAAAGCTACACGAAGCGGTAGCTGCAGCATCGAATTTGGTGGCTCAGACATGGCAGATTTAGTTTAGGTTCGATTCCGCCGGAGATTCCTCATGAGTTTCAGTAGAGGGAGTCCGTATTTCATCATCGCCACCATCTAGTTTGCCGTGATAAGAGAACAAAAGCCTCAAGCTTCCATCGTCAGGTAAGAGAAAAGAGGGCTTACAACTTCCGTTCACATCAATGTCGTAACCCTCTAATGCACGGTTGCAGCATCTGGCATTCCATACACGAATCTTGGGTCTGAATTGAACCTGCAGAACACTGAACACGGAACGGCACGGATGAGCAGAGAACCAAAAGATGACCCCGCAAACAAATTCCAGGATCTCGTATTGTCAGAAACGCGGTAACCTGGCAGTGCAAGGAATAATTCACGCCAAGCCTTCTGCTCCTTGTCCTTCTTGCTACAGATAATGGGGAGAAACGTCATTGATTAGGGTGTTCCTCCACTCCCAGTAGCGAACTAAAAGTGAGAAGTAGACCACACTAAAACATGGGAAGATGGATGTGTCAGCTGGAGAAAGGTGTAATAGCTTCAACCGCCCAAAAGCGTCAGAAGGAATCCGACTGAAGGAAAGTTTTCATCATCCACATTACCATCATTGAAAACACCAGAGAGAAATACAAAAAAGCAAAGCAAAATTCGAAGAATAGGAGCACTTGTGATGGATGTGTCGGCGAGAAAGGTTGTGTAGCTTCAACCACCCGAAGGTGTCAGAAGGAATCCGACTGAGGAAAAGGTTATCATCATCCACATCATCACACTCCTGTCAGTGTACAAAACGAATGTTATCGCGTCAACTCAGCCATCCAAGGAAGGAAAAAGCCACATCAGCTCTCAAGCCCCGGCAAGGGCGAAAGCTTTCAGTCGGCCACTGCGAATGTTTCGAGAAACGAAGCCGTAAGTGTGCTTTCATCATCGTTGACAGAGAAGTAAGAGCAACATTTGAAAGGTTGATCACGACTCACATAAACCAGACCAACGAGGGATTATGGAACGTGAAAGAAATGGTGAAGGGCCAGACTGAGACATAATGCTGACCATTATCAGGTTAAGAGAAAGGAAGCATGATCTCATTGAGTCAACTCAGCCATCCAAGGAAGGAAAAAGCCACATCAGCTCTCAAGCCCCGGCAAGGGCGAAAGCTTTCAGTCGGCCACTGCGAATGTTTCGAGAAACGAAGCCATATGTATGCTTTCATCATCGTTGACTCTTCATTCATAGAGATCGGAGCCTTAAATCGCCAACAGAAAAAAAACGAGGATCCATAGAAACCGGCAGCCTTTTTCCACAGTATAATCGTCGCATTGCATGCATACCTCGTTCGGGTTCGAGCAGAAACGAGCCTCCAATAACATCGTGTGTCAGGAAGGTCAAGCTGAAATTTGCACCGGTCACCGACGAGCGAACAAGGAAGCGTTGTTGTCCGTCAATACCCATCGTTAGTCAGTGCATAAACGCCGATGCAGCGCATCGCGTAAGATCGCTTGGTACGACGCGCCGCCATGTCACGCACACCGATCGTGGACTGGAAAAAATAGAAGGAAGAGCTAGGCCGTGAACAGGAATGTCGAGCAGCTGGAGTCAGCCCGTCAACCATAAAGCAGTAGCGAACACCCCACTGTAAATAGCTCAAGGATGGGAGTTGTGTGATGTCCAGCGCAATGCTGCTGAATGGTCGGGCGAGATCTCCTTTCCATCAGTTCAAGAATCATCTCGACGATGAACCTAGAAGGTTGAGTTCTGGAGGCTTTTCGGGATTCCCTCGCGTCCTGTAAAGTTCCAGAAGCGTGACAGAACTGAACAGGGGGCGGGGGTTTACAGGAGAACGCCTGGTGGTGAGCCACAATATGTCACTCCGCTTCTCAAGGCTACACTGCACTAATATACGGTAAATGGAATTTGACCCATACAGGTGTAAGAATTTTCTCTACATTCCTTACCGTGACCATCAATATCGCGTACAGCAGCAGCCGTTGTCCGCCCGTTACTGTTAACGGGGCTTCGCCAACTTCGCGCGCAATGTTTCACCAGACCATGCACAGCTGGCCCGGCCGAGTCGGCCTATGCTTCGGGGCTAGCCAGAACCTCGATGCCAGCCTAGCACTAGTGTAAGGATTTACAAATCCTTACTGAGGCACTCGTTATCGAGGCCATCCCGAGGGTCACGCGACGAACCTGTCCTTCCTATTTCGTCGCACCGAACCACTCCCGAGTCGCCTCCGCTCCAATCGCAACCATCACCGAGCCATCCTCGCCCAACCTCTCCGCCTAGCTAGGACTTCCCCTATTTAGTCGTGCCTTTCTCATTGTATCGTCATTCAGTAATTCGGTAATCAGTTCATTCTCGTTATTCGATATTCTGCGCACTCTGCAAGTTCATTCATAACAACTAGCTAGCTCGCACGCACCGCGTAACCGTTGCATGTTTCGCATAAGTATTCGCTCACGCCTTCGCTCATACTTTGTATCTTTTGCCCACTTAGTGCAATCCTCGTTATCTCGTTCCATTGCACCCGTAACAACAGGTCAACAGATACTTTTGGGCACCACGACCAAGGTGGCGGTATACCCCAGCCAGCATAGTTTTTGCCAATTGCCAGCTAGCTATCCCAACCAATGTTGACCCTATGAGAAAATGAAGTAGGTATGTTAAAGAGCATCACATTTGAGACCATGAACCAATCAGAACACAATGTGCACCATCATTGAATTATTCTTCCTGCGTTTTGGCACCCTTAACCATCCAAACTACATTTCTCTATTGTAGCAGTTACATCAATAACCTTCTCATCCTTCTCCCCTTCCCTTATCCCCTGTGCTCCCTCTTCCTTCACCACCTCCCTCTCACTACTCCCCTCTCCCACCACTTGCAACAATGTATCTATATCCCTCTCCATCTCCCCAATCACCTCATGCAACTTACTCACGCTCATCCCCCCTTTCCCCACACCCTTTTTCCCAGCCTCTCCTCCATTCCCTTCACCAGCAGCATCAGTGGGAGCAACACTGGCACACCCTGAATCCGCTGCTTCGTTTTTCCCCGATGATTCTGCTGCTGATGTCAGCGGCAGCAGTGATTTCAGTTCTTTCGCTCGACCTAGCAGCTGCTGTGCTCGCATGCGGATGGTGCCGGGCTCTTGGGGCGGGAAGAGAGACGCACCAATCTCGTCCACGTCTTCACTCGCTCCCATGCACACACGGAGAACCAACTCCAAGATACTGCTGCTGCTGCTATTGCTGCCGCCGCTGCTGCTGCTATTGCTGCCGCCGCTGCTGCTGCTATTGCTGCTGTTGTTTCTGTTGCTGCTGTTGCTAGCCGAGCTACTGGCAGCGCTGCTACTTGTGCCACTGCCAGTTGCAAGCTTTGCTGCACCAGTCTTCTGCATCTGCTCTTGCTGCTGTTTTCCCACAACTCCCTGTGACTGTAAATTGTCTTGCTGCTGCTGCTGCTGCTGTCCCCATGAGTCCTGGTGCTGCTGCCATGATGCCACAAGGTAAATCAAACACCGAATCACTCCTTCTGCTGCCACACACACTAGCAAACCACTCTGTGCCAACTCCCTCTCCTCCTCTCCCAGACTCACCTCCTCTTCATCCTCATCATCATCATCACCATCACCACCATCACCACCATCACCGTCCTCCTCCTCCCCCTTGTCATTACTGGACAAATTCTCCTCCTCTTTACTGTCCTTTTCCCCGGGTCTTTCTGGAACCCCTCCGCCTTCCACAGCTCTTCCCTCCTCTTCCACACCCCCTTTATCCTCGCTTTTCTCCTCTCCCACAGCACCGTTCTCAACCCCTTCTCTTCCAACCATCTCTCCCACCTCCCTGGCAACGTCTTTCATTGACGCAGCAACGGTCACCAGCGCCCGACCCACAGCCGCCTCGTTGCTCACTGGAAGCTTCTTCAGTGCGTATTCTGACTGTAACACGCCCACCTGCCTGTGGAGCAGTTGAGCTCGCTGAGTGGCTGTGCGGCGACAGTGGAGGGGAGGGGGGGGAAGAGAAAGGATAGAATAAAAAAGGGGCGGAATGAGTGACCAGACTTCATATTGTAGGCTTCTTCAGTGCTGCATATGCTGACTGCAGCACGCCCACCTGCCTGGGGAGCAGCTGAGCTCGCTGATTGGCTGCAGGGCAAAAACGGGGAGAAGGGAATGATTTGAAGTATAAGGAAAACCAGTAGTTCCTCATATTGTAAGTGCCATAAGTAACTGGACACTGTTTTATATCATTAATACAATACAACCCTAAACCCTGACCTTATGAAATCAAATCACTGCCCACGCCAGCAACACAACCCCATACCATTTGACGTGGTCAAAGCAGTGTCCAGCAGAGCAGTAGCGGCTGACACCACGCCTTCAGCAGCCGAGCGAATGGCAGCATGCCACGTGGCAGCAGCGCCAGCACTGCAGGCGTGCAGCAGCAGCGTGGAGGCCACAAAGGAGTCGTGGAAATCCGAGAGGAGCGGGGCGGCTTCTGCTGCCTTTGGGGGAGTGGCAGCTGCCCAGAAGATTGCCACTGCGGGAGGGGTGTGTGCATGGCAGAGACAAGGTGGGAAAGAGGAGAGTGGGAGGAGTTCTGAGACGTCTCAAAACTCGGAAATCGGAGAGCAGGGGGGCGGCTTCTGCTGCCTTTGGGGGAGAGGAAGCTGCCCAGAAGATTGCGACTGAGGAAGAAGTGGTTTTGGAAAACAAGGGTACGTAGCAGCGCCAAGGAGAGGGGGGAGGGCACGGGGGCGGAAAGGAGGAGATTATATTGTGGTAGCAGGAAAGAACGGAAAAGAGGGGGTGCATGAAACGGAAAGGCCATAATCTGTGGCGGTGAGAGAAACAGAAGAAATGACAGTGATGAGACTTCTGTGGCATGCATGCACATTCCAATCCCGGATTTGACAGCTATATAAATTTCTCCTTACCTTTGACAGCTTGCTTCACGAGGCTCTCTGCTGCTTTGGCCACGTCATCCCTGGTCACCTTCCTGGAAGTTTCAGGAGCTGCTTCTGAGAAGAGCTGCGGGGAGGACGAACAGGGAAAAACCAAAAGGAATGGGAAAACATCAGATCAAAGATGGGGTGGCCAGCATTTTTGAGGCGCCTCAAAAGCCGCTTCAAAAGGCGCCTCATGAAGCGCATTAAAAGAGCTGCGGAAAGGACTAACAGGGAAAACTACCAGAAGGAACGGGAAAATATGGGATAGAGTGGCCGGCATTTCAAAACTGGGAAACATGGAGTGTTGGGGAGCCTCATAGCGGAAACCAGAAACTTTGAAAACATGGAGAACGAGGGTCAAGAAGAGGAATAGACGTAATGAGAGAAGGGAGAAGGATGAAGAAGGAACGAAGGAGAGTGAAGTTGAAGCAAGGAAGCAAGAGATCGGGAGAGAATTGTCAGCCAGCACCATGCAACACATGCGTTTTGAGTCGACAGGAAACTGCGTGTAATGCGTCGCTTTTTGAGTCGGAAAGTCGAAAAGACGAAGCAAGAGATCAGGAAAGAATGGTCCGCCAGCACCAAGCAACACATGCTGGTCAATCCTCCATGGAAGTACTTCCGCGTTCTCTTGCAAGCAACGAGGGTCAAGAGGAATCAAAACAGCTAGAGGACCTACTTCAAGAATCTGCGTTAGTATCTCCTCCGTAGAGTCTAGAGGAGTCACGAAGGAAACAAATCAGGTAGAGGAAAGCCTACCCACAGCATCTGCTGAGACGACTCCTAAAATCGCTTCCAGATGCTTCTAAAAATGTCGCAAGAGGCGTCACAAAGGTCAGTCAGCAGAAAAGGAAACAACTCCAATGCCCACCTCGAGCATCTGCTGAGACGACTCCTTGAATTGCTTCCAGATGCTTCTAAAATGTCGCAAGAGGCGTCACAAAGGTCAGTTCAGCAGAAAAGAGAAGAACTCCGACGCCCACCTCCAGCATCTGCTGAGACGACTCCTTGAATCGCTTCTGAAACGCGACGACGGACCCGCGCGGCGCCATGGGTGTCGACGCGAGCCGTGCGGATCGCTAACTGAGAAGAACAGCTGGGGGAATCGCTGTGAAAGCGCGAAAAACGCAATGGCTTATTGGGTTGGGTACGCTATCGCAGTTTCTCCGTAAACATTCACTGAGACGCCGCGTTCACTGAAAAGGAACGTCACTGTCTGCAATCACACCCAAACACTGCAAGCCGTCGTCGCGCAATCGCTACTGCTCAATCGATCCGAGTCAGGTAAGGGAGTTGTTATACTACGGGCCGCCAAGACAGGAGAGACTAGTCTGATTGCGATCCGCAAGTCAGCGGACAGAAGGAAACAGATGCGACGAAATAAACAGAGCACAATCAGTTAGCCAATGAAGGGAGAATCTAGCAGTCCTGGTCGGGGCGCACTATTTGTGAGTCATAATCAAGCAGCACCAGTCAGATTCCGAAGAAACTCGAAATGAACTGAACCTGAACGGAATCGTGCATGCATGAACTGGAACTGAACCTGAACTACTGTACACATGGAGGTGAAATATCCGAACCCGGAGTGCAACCGAATCACGAAACGAGCCAAACCGAGCGCGACCTCGAATTGAGAGGATTTTTGCTCTGAATGAACCGATTGAAGGAGAAACGTTTCTCGATAGAAGTCATGGGAGCATCTAGAAATGTTGCAGATTGCTTTTGGCCTTGTACAACTGACAAGAGAACTGCTAATAGAGACAGATAAATATCACATTGAGAGTTTCATTTCCACTAACTGACACTGTTGCTTGTGTTTGCTTCTGGAGGGACAGTTGGTAACAAAGGCAGACTAGCACGGATTCCTCCTTTCTCCTTCTCCTTCTCTTTCTCCTCCATTCCTCTTTCACTTGCCTCCGTTTTCCTCTCGTCACTCGCATCACCCTCCTCCACTCTCCCTGTTCTCCCGTCCCCTTCTCCCCTTCCCTCACTCTCACAAACACCCATGGTGCTCCTCTCCTCTCCAGGTTCCAGCAACTCAGCCCCATCCAGGTCATCTCCCTTCCTTCCACTCCAAAACTCCGCCCAACTCCTCCCCTGCACAGACCCCACAGGAGCAGCCAAACCAGCAGCTGAACCAACCGAACCAGCAGCCTTACCCGCACCAGCAGCAGGAGCACCAGCAGCACCACCAACATTAGTAGAAGAAGCAGCGGCAGCTGAATTTTCTGCACCAAACCAGTAGTTGTAGGTGCCGCTGCCCCACTCCTGCAGAGCAGCAACCTGGGCAGAACAAAGAAGGTGGCAGGCGACAAAAAAACATAAAACAGGTGTGAACATGTCAATTTGCTGTTACGTGTCTCAGAAACAAAGTAGAAAGCTTGTGCTGCAGAACCAGCTTTCAATAAATCAACGAAGAAAGGAACAAAAAAAAGGAAGAAAAAAAGGAGGAAAAAATACGGAAAAAAACTGGCTTGCTTTTGATTCTTGAAGACTAAATCAGAGGTTGCCTCGATCTACACTCACCTGTTGTCCCACTTGATCATAAAGCTCGGCTGCAGAATCGCCTGTTCGCGCAAACTGGTTGACCCACGCTGAAAAGGAAAAGAGCAGAATAGAGGGGGTTTGTCGGTGACGGTGAGTAAAGGGGGTGGCCTTGAGTCGACTTAATGCAGACGCAGAACGGAGAGGAGAGGGTAATGTAAGCATGCTACACATGTCTACATTCACCCACCCACCTGGAATGGGCCCGACGCCCAGTTTAACACAGAGCTCGTCGCAGAAGTGGTTACAGTTACAGTTCAGAATCTACCAGGAATGTTTTGTATGTGCATTTGCTTGTAACGAGTCCAGAACACCCACCTGGGATGGGGCCGACGCCCAGTTTGACACAAAGCTCATCGCAGAAGTGGTTACAGTTTCGCCCGAGCATGTCGTACGACACCCCAGGCCACTGCACGCTCATCTCAGCTATGATCTGCCCCGCTCGTTTCGCACTCAGCTTCGTTTCCCCCATGTCCACTGTTTCTCGATAAGTGTAGTAGGGGTTGGATTTCGGGCGGCAGCTGAACACGCCTGAGCCGCGCTCGCAGTATCCGAACGACCACTCCTCTCCAAACACCTGAAAGAAAGGCGGGATGGACGAGAACCTAGGAGGGTTGGATTGGATTTCGGGCGGCAGCTGAACACGCCTGACCTGTGCTCGCAGTACCCAAACAAACGACCATTCCTCTCCAAACACCTGGAAGAAAGGCGGGATGGACGAGAACCTAGGAGGGTTGGATTGGATTTGGGGCGGCAGCTGACCACGCCTGACCTGTGCTCGCAGTACCCAAACGACCATTCCTCTCCAAACACCTGAAATGAGCGAGGGACAAGGGAACCAGATGAAGACTGCCGAGCTTCGTCTCCCCCGTGTAAACTGCCTCCGAACACCTGGAAGAACGGCGGGATGGACGTGAAAGGGAGGACGGATAGGCAGGAAGGGAAGAGAGGAGGGAAATGGAGGAAGGGAAGAGAGGAGGGAAATGGAGGAGGGGAAGAAAGGAGGAAAAAGGGGAAAGGAAGTGCGGAGGGAAAGGGAGGAGGGAAAGAGAGGAGGAAAAGGGAGGAGGGGAAGTGAGGAGTGAAAGGGAGGTGGGGAGGAGAGGAGGGAAATGGAGGAGGGGAAGAGAGGAGTGAAAGGGAGGAGTAAGGAAGTGCGGAGGAAAATGGAGGAGGGAAAGAGAGGAAGGAAAAGGAGGAGGGAAAGTGAGGAGGGAAATGGAGGAGGGGAGGAGAGGAAGGAAGTTGAGGAGGAGAAGTGAGGAGGGAACGGGAGGAGGGTAGATGAGATGCATTGTCGCATCATGAGAAACAACGAAGTGAGGGGGTGAGGGAGAGGGGGTGGGGGAGGAGGAGGGGGTGTGGGAAGGGAAGGGGGAGGGAGGGCGATGGCTTTGATTAGGTGTGACCAGCGACGCGCAAACACCGCAGCTGAAACGACATCCCTGAGAAGATCAGCGTTGCATTTGCACCCTTCAACTCCGAGCGCGCTTCTAGCAGCTCACCTCGACGGCGCCGTGGAAGATTCCTCCGATCCCCAGCGTGCTCCGCGCGACGCCGAGCGCGCATCTAGTGTACCCTTTGACCCCGAGCGCGCTTCTCGATACTAGTACCTCGAATGCTCACCTCGACGGCGCCGTGAAAGATTCCTCCGATCCCCAGCGTGCTTCGCGCGACGCCGTTGATGCGAAGCACGGTGTTGTTGACGTTCGGATCGGGGCTGTTGGTGACGTCGTACACGTGCAGTAATACCTTCTTCTTGTCCGCCATGGCTGGACGAAACGACTCTAAGTTCGCCTACGTTCGCCTAAGATCGTCTATGTTCGCCTAAGTTCGCCGGTGTCACAGGTTGAAATCGGGGCTGTTGGTGACGTCGTACACGTGCAGTAGTACCTTCTTGTCCGCCATTGCTGGACGACTAAATGGGAGGGTAATGTGTGGCTAAAGGTGGGTTGTGAGTCGACTCTAAGTACGCCTGTGTCACGGCGGCTGCTGGTGACGTTGTACGCTCGCAGCAGAAGCATCTTGTCAGCCATGGCTGCATTTTCATTAAATTTGTAATTTTGCAAGCTTTCGGGGAATGTGTCGAGATGGCCGAGTTGGTCTAAGGCGCTGGATTAAGGTTCCAGTCCGAAAGGGCGTGGGTTCAAATCCCATTCTCGACAACGATATTTTGTTGTTTTACTTTGCTATTTTGATTACGTACCTGCTTCGCTCTGCTGGACATCGATGACTAGTAGCTCTCCTGTCTGCTTACACGATACGCCCACTGCTCTTTGCCTGAGAGCAAACAACTGGGAAGAAGCTGACAGTTATCCATTGCTGTAATCTCTCATCAAAACCATACATGGAAGCTTCATATCTTAATCCTACGCAACACTGCCGTTATCCTTGGCCTGAAACCCTAGAGCAAGGCCGTTCATGCAATAACGAAGCCCAGTAGGCGCCGGGCCATCCTCAAAGACGTGCCCTAAGTGCCCCTGGCACTTGGAACACCGCACTTCGGTCCGGTCGAAACCAAAAAACGACCTATCAGGGAGCAGATCCACAGCTCCGGGCAGCACGTCGAAAAAACTCGGCCAGCCCGTGCCGCTTTCGAACTTGGTTTCCGAGTCGAAAAGGGATGAGCCGCATCCCCGACAGACGAAGGTTCCGGGACGTTTCTCGTACAGCAGGTCACTGGTGAAAGAGCGTTCTGTGCCGGCCTCCCTAAGGACGTAATATTCACCGGGCGATAGGATTTCCCGCCACTCCGCCTCCGTGTGAGACACGTTTCCTACTCGCAGCGCGATTCGCTGCTTCGGAGAGAGCGACGCCGGGTCGATGGTGCCGCTGGGGCCGGTTATGTTAACGGAAGCGGAAAGATCGGAGGGGCTAGAGAACATGTAAGAGCCTAGACCGAGTCCTGCGGCGCCAAGTGCGGCGCTAGTGGCTACTATGAGCGTGATGGCGCCGCGACGGGTGGGAGATGAGTTAATCGGGATGGAGCCCTTAGGTCTGACGTCAGGTGTGAGGGACTGGAACTCGGATACGTCAGCTGAAGCATCTGAGCCGTTCGATTTGCTAGATTTGCCGTCTCCGCCGTCCAGACTGCAGCGAACCCACATAGGATTGCGCCACGTGGCCTTTCGTCCAGCGGATTGAGAAGATAATCTCGAGAGGGGATTCCCGCTGGTTGGGAGGAGGCCGTTAAGAGGAGGTGTGGTAAGAGAGAGCGCTGCCATTGAAAGAGCTTGTAAAATTGTAGCTTTGGAGTCGAATCTTTTCTCAGTCTTCTGGTTTTGAGCTTACGCGATTTAATAACTGCGGCTACGCGCTGTTCCTGCAGCGAAAGAACGGAACTGAAGCTTGCCTGGGAGACCCTCTACCGTTGTGGACTATGAGATTTGTTGTGCAGTATTGCAGAGTGATGAAGCTTGAATTCCAGTCTTCATGTTGTTCCGTCAGAGCTCTCATGCTCGAGCGAATCCCAACAATGCAACGCAAAGAAAGCTTCAGAGACCAGGAATTGGGTTCACGTAAGTGAATCACTGTCAAGTGCGGTACTGTGCGATTTAGGGCGGTCTCTCCGTAAGTCATCTACAACCACTGCAGCTTTCCCAAGAGCGATGAATGAGCGATGGTCCTATGCATGAGGGGGTTCAGTTGGAGACATGCGTTGAAGGACAACCCTCGGCATGCACACCAAGGCCCTGTTCGGTAGCCCTCCCAGTCATACTGCGGTTGGTGCGTGCGATCTTCTCTTTCCTAAATTCAAATTGCTTAAAGCCCAAAAAAACCGTTATTAGAACACCGAGCCTGTCCAGTGCAAATGGGCTACCGAACGCATAAAAACCCCACTTCAACTGCGTGCTAGGACACTACCACGAAACTGTCGCGCCCAGGCAAACTCGACAGTCAGTGGAAGTCCCTCCCATTTCAGCTTTCCAGTTCAACCCAGGCAGGCCCGCTCAGAGTGGCAGGCTGGAGGGTATACCCTGCACTAGTTTCGATTCGGTTCAAATTAAAGTTTTTTAGCACGCTCTTTCAAACGATGAGAGATCGTGCCCGTTCCTGATTTTCTTTATCCATATCGACCGTTTTTCATTTGGCGGACTGATTTTTTGTTTGTGGTTGGGGCAGCCTCGTACAGAAGTAAAAGTTTCGGCGAGTAATTTCCCAAGAAACGCAAGGTAACTTCTTGCATTTGGGAACGAGACTTCCTTTCAGTGTGAGTGGACGCCCGAGGCTACGAAACATTTCGTAGGCTTCCCCAGTTCGAGTGGGCCCAGTGTGACTGGAAGGCTACCGAACAGGGCCCAAGGACGGTCGGAATTCGGGATAGGCCATGAAGCGACGGAGACGGACTGGGTTACGTCAGCGGGTTGGATTGCTGCCGCGTGTCCCTCGATGATTGTTTTCCTGCTTGAAATAACGTGGCGCGGTGAAACCACTGATGATCCATGTGCTGAACCGAATAAGATGTACACCGCTACAGATACAAACAATAAGAGCTTATACAGTAGTTTTATGGTTAATAATATATGGGTGGAGTATATGGTACTCCGCTGATGCACAGCTCCACCTCAGGTCGATGGCTATGAAAGCAATGAATAGCCCACTCCGTCAACCTTGCCCTGCCAATGTCAACAAATCTCAGTGCAGGGGCAGCTTAGAGGTGGTCGAAAATGTCATCCGATATTTTCGGGCAGCTTTGCATGCTCAAGTAGCGCAGTAGAGCAGCCGCATACTCCCCGGGCAGACGAATAACCTCCCCGGCACCTGCACCTGGACCTGACCCCTGGACCTGACTATGCTCCGGCCGAACCTGCTGGGCCCAGGCTGGGCGGCAAAGAGCCCTGACGCAAGGATTGGACAGCTGGCGGCAACCGTCCAATCGAATCTTGATGAGGTGGCAGCATCTGTTAGCAATGTATATAATTCCGGCATCTGAGACTTGACCGCAGAAGCTGAGGAAGAGATAACGGAGAGCAAGGCAAGAGGTGGCAAGAGCCTTTAAACCCTGGATGGGGACAGGAGGGGATGAGGTGGAGGGATGCAGACAAGGATGGATTATGAGAACAATGATTCCGGCATCTGAGACTTGATCTCAGAAGCATAGGGAGAGATAGCGGAGCGAGAGACAAGCGGCAGCAAGTGCTTTCAAGCCCTGGAAAGGGGCAGGAGGGGCAAGGCGGATGAGCAGACAGAACATAGGAAAGAATAGGAGAGGACGGAGAGGACGGAGAGGACGATGGGGTTTGGGAGAAGAGGAATATGGTCAGGTATACACTTTTTTTTTAAACCACCACCACCAACCCCCCCCCCCCCCCCCCCCCCCCCCCCCCCACCCTCCCTCCTCCACCCACTCCCCCCCCCACTCCCCAACCTCCCTACCCCACCTACTTCCCCTTTTAGAGTATCGTACGCCATTTCTGAGCCTGGGGCAACCATGCAGTGCCAGCTCATTTAGACTGTGATAACGAGAGGAGAGTGACAACAGGCAAGCCCTTCATGGTCTCAGTGAGGTTCGCACATAGTTTGACCCCTCCCTCCCCAACCCGATCACCCCATGCAGGTATCCCACCTCATTGGTGAGCTTGGGGCAGCCATGCAATGCCAGCTCCTCCAGACGGTGACAATGAGAGGAGAGTGACATACGCAAGGTTCCCCCACCCCGTTCCCACACATTTTTAACTCTCCCTTCCCCCCACCACCACCCCCCTCTTCCCACCCACCCACTAAGGTATCATACTTCATTAGTGAGCCTGGGGCAGCCATGCAGCGCCAGCTCCTCCAGACCGTGACAACGAGAGGAGAGTGACAACAACGAGATGTCTGGTAGTGGACTCTGGTTCAGCACCTGATGGGACGAGGGGGAAATGAAGAGAGGAAATAGAGAGTGACATCAGAAGGAGATAATTGAAAGTGAGAATAGAGAGTGGCAATAACGAGGTGTCTGCTAGCGACCTCTAGTTCAGCACCTGATGGGACGGGGGGAAGGTGAGGAGAGGTCAGTGGAGGCCGACAATAGAGTGTTACAATAACGAGGTGTTTGCTCTGTTAGTAAGCTCTGGTTCAGTAAGTGAGGGTATGAGGAGGAGGCAGGTGGACATAGGATGGGAAGACATCAGAGAGATATGAAAGAAGACAAATTCAGTAAGTACAGAGTAGAACAGACGGAGGAGGTATAGAACAGAGAATTTTGCGTCTGAAAAGAGAGAGAGAGAAAGAGAGAGAGAAAAAAGAAAAGAAAAGAAAACAAAAGAGGGAAAAAAAAAACAAACAAACATCCTTTTACAAAAAAAAAAGGTACCCTCACCAGTGTTTTGAACTCGTGCAGAGGCGGGTCAGACATGCATCTGAAATTGGAGAGGTCCAGGTGACTTAGCCTGATGCAAGTACTGGCCACTGGGTGTGGGGAGGGGAAGATGGAAAATGGGAGATTTTGAGATTCGGGTCGAGATGGGAGATGGAAGGTGGAGATCACCCGATTCACAGCCTCAAGCTCGTGCAGAGGCGATTCAGACGTATGTGAAATTGGAGAGGTCGAGATGAGTGAGACTGGTGCACCATGCATGCACTGGCCACTGGAGTTGATATGGTGATGATGAGTGATGGGGGTTGGAATGGAATTGACAGTGAAGGGCGACACTGAAAGAGCGAGGTCGAAAACACGTGCGTTGTGTGCATTCATTCCGTGTTGCCCTTTCATTCAAGGCATTCATGGCACGACCCATGTAGCTTCACCACCTCACACCAAGTCTTGCTAGACCGCATGTACCACATAA